ATAATCTGCACATGTGCTCCAAATTTCAAGACTATACTCGTTGTTGTTATCAAGAAAAATGGATTGAAAATTGACAAAACGTGAGTACGTTACCTGCGGACAAGTCGTTTGTTCTTTTAATCAATTTACCTGTACTGAATTCCATTAATTCTATTTAGTCATTGCCGTTTGATAAACCACAATTTATAGAAGAAACTACTAAAAAAACGACATCGACACACTCTCAGCATCTAACCTATGGACAGAAGTAAGTTTCATCCAGAGCTGTCAAATCCAAATGCAAAAAAACAGGAGTGTCTCAGTAAAAAAAACAGTAGTTGACCAGGAGATTTTACCGAAAAACCAGGATGGAAAGCAGTAGATCTTTATGAAACTGAAGTAACTATTTGAGTGGCTTGGTTCGAAAGAAGCTGAAATTTTCGTTCAGATAACTATCTGTTTCTTTCTACTGTTAAGTTAGTGATGACGAGACAATCCTCTAAATGATATATAACGAAGAGAAAGAAAGATAACTTATGCATTTACCCAAAAATGAACAAACTAACGGATTTGATAACCATTCTTTTTTAATGTTCACAAATAATATTTAATTGCTTTCATGCATGATCATGAAGCTGTTTTCGATTTGAATTTTTCCAGCGAAAACGAATCAGTATTTTTACATGATGTGGTAAAGTTTGTAACAAAAAATTTCCTCTAATAAATCTCAGACTTCGGTGTTCTCATCTTCTTGCAACGCATGTATTGGATAAATATACAGTCGGTTCTTTCTTTTTATTCACAGTTACACAAGTCTTTGCCATAGGGTTTGTTTATAAAATTGATCATCTTAATCTTGTAGAACTCAAACAGAAAGAATGTGCTTTCTTGTTGCTTGTTGTATCTATGAAATAGTGTGATAGTTGTTTTTTTTTTTGTTTTTGCTTTATTGATTCAACATGTCACGAAAGCTCAGAGTAATGAAACCATTAAAAACCAGAAGAAACCAAGAGAGAATTTAGAAAACCAGCTCCTGATTCCAGAAGATTTTTTCACCAGGAGAAAAGTCTAAAAACCAGGAGTCTCCTGGCTAAATCAGGCGATTTGGCAGCCCTGATTTCATCATGTAGAGTTAATTTATTGTGGTCATTTATACTTTGTATCAAAGAGAATGAATAGTATTTCTTTTTACATTCGTATTAGAGTCGACTTTTGACTTATGTTACACTAAATGGACAAACAGCAATAACTATTAATTTCTGAAAGTGATACTGATAGAATTGTTTGCTTCTAAGCATTGGCGAATTTTACTCGAAAAGCGTCCAATTGCATTATAATGTAACGAAATCATCAAAATCTTCTTTTATCAATTTCCATCGAGCATGAATCTTTCGAATCGACCCGTTGTTGAAGTTCTTGTACTACCAATGAGACGATGTGAGTGCCGTTCGGGTTGATAATGTGTGGTGTGGATGCATATTAGGTATGAGGTGTGGGCGCAATGAATACTCACATCCACACTCATGCTCTACCTACAACAACTTGGCTATTTTTAAACAAAAAACAAAAACAAAGCAAACTATTATAATCAACATATATTGACTACAATCTGACATGTATTTGTCTTTTTTTTCGTCATCAACAAGTAGACATAATCTTCGTATTGATGTAATCTTTATTTTCTCTGTATTAAAAAATACGACTGAATATAAGCGAATAAATTCATTTTTTTTCTTTTGATCGACATATACATACATTTTTAATCAGAATAAAAAAATTCTCCTGCTGATGTCAGAATGATGAAGCAGAATAAGAGCAATTGTGTGCACAGCTATGCTCTCTTACGTCTTTCTCGATCAACTACAACTGTTGTTGCTGCTCATGTTTATTTATTAGTCCGATTCGAGACACTAATAAAAGAAGAATTGAAGAAAAAGAATCTCATATTTTACCTCCATGCCAGTGTACTTGGAATTGTAGCCATTTGTGCTGCTTTCTGTTTCTTTTCTTTCGATCATTACCATGATGATGACGACAACGCCAATTTTCTTTCTTATTTCAACAACAATAAGCTATTAATCGAGTAGTGTATATATAAAAAAAACTCATTCGTGCAAATGATTTGTCCGAGGTGTGGTAATTTTTTATTAGCACGCGAAGGCATTCTTCAAGCTGGTCGTAAGTATCATCGACATTGTTGGACTTGTGGTGAGTTAATTACTTCATGAGAACTATGAATAAAAGATGTTCTTTTTTATTACCATTTTCTTTTTTAGCACAATGTTCATCACCATTGACTTCGTGGGTTCGTCAACAACCCATAACTAATGAATATCTTTGTAATACCTGTCATATTAAAACACATGGATTAAAAGAAGGTATGGTTTTTGTTAACTGGAACAAACAACAAACAAAATCAATCATGTCTTCGAACATACAGTAAATTTTTTATTTGCTTTTCTCAAACAAACAAGAAACACAAGAATTTGTTTATGTTTATTTAGA